TGCTTGTATGAACTTACAGCAACAGCAATGGTGACAGCAGGCACAAGACCCACACAAGTTTGAAACAGACAAAACCCAGCATGGAACTGGAGAAATGGGTAAGAAGCCCCGATCTTAGCCAAGGAACTATTGATAGCTGATCATTGCAGGGTGAGGGAGAGTTGGTCTGCTTTGAGGGATGCTAAATGGGCTGACCAGTTTCCAGTGGGTGAACTCATACCAAGGAACATCTGGGTACACAAGCTTAACTTGATAGGCCTTAACATATATAACAGAATGCAAGAAATCCTATAGAAGGGCAATGGGGGTGGGGCTGTGCAAATAGGGGAAGGGTCTAAATACCACCATAATTCCAGTTCCAGGGGATCCAATGATCCAACACCCTCTTCTAACCCCCTCAGGCATTGCATGATATGGGTACACTTACACACATGCAGGCAATACATAGTCATACACATAAAATAAAAATAATAAATAAAATAGTTTTTTCTTTGGTCTTTTTGAGACAGGGCCTCCCTGTAGCCCCAGCTGGCCTGGAACTCACTGTGTAGACCAGGCAGGCCTTGAACTCACAGAGATCCACCTGCCTCTGCCTCCCAAGTGCTGGTACTACAGGCATGCACCAGCACGCCCGGCATAAAATAGTTTTTAAAAAGAGAAAAAGGGGGCTGGAGAAATGGCTCAGAAGTTAAGAATACTGACTGTTCTTGCAGAAGACTTTGGTTCAGATCCCAGCACCCACATGGCAGCTAACAACTATCCACAACTCCAGTTTCAGGGGACCCAACAGGGCTCTTCTGCCTCCACAGACATTGTATGACATGAGTGCACTTACCTACATGCAGGCGATACACGCACACACATAAAATAAATAAAATTTCTAAAAAATTTTGTCTTAAAATTTCAATTACATCAAGTAGTCTACTGTTGCAAAGCCTTCTGTGACTTCTCAATGCACAGGAAGTCTTGAGTCTTTTACTCCCCAGGCTACCTCCCTTGGCCCAGATCTCTCTCCTTGGCTCACTACAACCAGCTACTTAAGCCTGTTTTCTTGGGCAGTTACTTTATCTTACCAATGCTCGAAGTATCTCATCAGTTATTTTATCTTACAGTCTTCATTGCTGGGAATGCTTTTCCCTCCTTCTTCCTCCCCCACACGCTGCCTGTCTTCTCCTATTCGTTCTCCCTCATCTCAGCCTTTGTTTAGCTCTTTGCACTTTTGAAATGTGTTATTTTATTTTTGCTTTTGTTTACTATTTTACCAACTTACTACATAAGCTCTGTGAGAAATGGACTCGATGCTCCATCTTGCACATCTTCTTCTCCAGTGGCCTCCTTGCTATTTGTGGCACTTTTTTTAAACTTTTATAAAAACTTTATTGAGAATTTCATACATGTATATAAGGTGTTTTGATCAAATCCATGCCCATTCCCTCCTCTCCAACATTCCCCCCTCTGAAGAGGTAACCCTAAAATCTTTTAAAGATTAGATATAACCTCCCAAATACTTTTGACATGTTGACATTTTTGGCCTTTGGAACAGAGTGTGTTGCTAAAAGGCCCAAGGACATTTTGACTTTTAGCCCAGAAACTTGCTACATTTCTTTGGGGTCTTTTTACCCTAACTGCCTAGCCAATTCCTACCTCCTATTCTTATCACGCCATCCTCTGAAGGGATTACCCAAATTGCCAATAGGGAATAGGGGTGCAGACCACTCTGGCTTCTTCCATTCTGAATAGGGACATAGGGTGAGGCAATTGGAGTACCCCTTTAGTGGGTCTATCTAAAAGACTCCCAAATTGCATAACTCTTGTCTGTAAGAGGAAAAGAAAGTCCTTGAATCATGATTAGGAGATGTGAAGGAGAAATAAAGGCAAGAGTAATTAGCATTACAAGTTCTAGACAGGGAACTAGAGACAAGTCACAACAGGGCAATTTTCAAACATTCATATGAGATTCCATTGGAGTTTCTTGACAAGGGCTCCCAAAAGCATCACTGTATTTCTTAAATAATAATTCTTGCTTTAAAAGATCCTGTTTTATTGATGTCATGCAAAGTGTTTTGAGCAGTAGTATTACTGGGCAGAGAAATTACATTAATCTCCATGAATGGAAGAAATAACAGAAAAAGGACTTGTGTCTACAGGTTTAACATTACCCAAAGGCATTCCTTCCTTCTCTGAACTAGAGCAAGAGCCTGCCTAGAACTAGTTGATTGAGAATGGAGCATGGAGTAAGAAGACAGTCTCTGACATCTGAATACATACCAAAAGAAATGTAGAAATTACCAGAGAGAATTTACAAAGAATGCTAAATGCTCTGGGTAATACTGAAAACTATGAATCTGACTTTGATTCATAGATTTCTGTCACTGTTCAGCAGTATAGGTGTTGGGGAGAAATCACTTAATGCAATTGAACCAGGACTTAAGGCTTGAAAAATAGGAGTGAAGGGGCTGGAGGGATGGCTCAGCAGTTGAGAGCACTGGCTGTATTTGCAGAGGACCCTGGTTCAATTCCCAACACCCACATGGCAGCTAACAACTATTTGTAACTCCAGTTCCAGGGGAACCCAATGCCTTCTTCTGTCCTCCATGGGCATTGCACAGCACGGGTACACTTACATACATGCAGGCAATACACTCATACACGTAAAATAATAAAATAAGCTGGGTGTGGTAGCACACGCCTTTAATCCCAGCACTCGGGAGGCAGAGGCAGGTGGATCTCTGTGAGTTCAAGGCCAGCCTGGTCTACATAGTGAGTTCCAGGCCAGCTGAGGCTACAGGGAGACCCTGTCTCAAAAAGACCAAAAATAAACAAACAAATAAGTAAATGAACAAATAGAAGCAATTTAAAAGGGATTAAGAACTTCACAATAATGAGAGTGACTGAGGTAATTAACAGATGTCTTAGTGTGGACAGAGATAAAAGCCAAAAGAATGTCAGCCAACACAACAGAAGGGTTACAGGGCTGAACGTCTCCCAGAAGCTGAAGAGTAACCATGAAGTGCACCTGTGAGGCAGATTATGAAAAGAAAGCTGGTTGGTGCCCTACAACAGAGCTGCATACAACGGGTGAAAGTAATTCCACGAGTCAAACAAGGTGGAGGTGGCCCAGGAGGTGCCGTTATAGACCTCTCTTTAGAAAAACATACCATAGGCAGGATTTCTCCCAAGACCCCTTAGTAGGCATCAAGATATTAACTTCTTCAAGTGTATAGTGTCTTGAATGTTGAAAGAGCAAAATAACATTGAGGGGCATGGTGGGGGACCTCTGTAATCCCAGTATTTGAGAGGTAGGAGGCTTGGCAGTTTGAGGCCAGCCTTGGCTATATAACACTCTGATGCCAGCCTACTCTATGCAACAAGATGCTGCCTCAAAAGAAAAGAGGGGAAAAAAGCCAAGAATAATTTTTGAATGCTTGGTAACTAAAATGGCTTATTTAGTGATGGTAAAAGAAGGCCACCTAGGGAGCTGGAGAGATGGCTCAATGGTTAAGAGCACTGGCTGCTCTTACAGACCAGGGTTCTATTCCCAGCACCCTCATGGTGGATAACAACTGTCTGTAACTCCAGTTCCAGGGGAATCTGACACCATTTTCTGACCTCCACAGGCATTCCACAACACGGGTTCACTTACACACATGCAGGCAATACACTCATAAAATAAAAACACTAAATAACATATTTTTTTTAAAAAGGCCACCTTAGGTGTTATTAACAATCCACGCATTTTGTTTCCAGATGCAGTTTGCTCCATGATTCAGGAGAAACTCAGGTCACCAGGAGATTACACTCACTTAGAACACTTTTCCCTCTGGGCAGAGTGAACATTGCAAGAATGTATTTAATGAGGTGCTGCACTCCTCAGTCAAACCCTGGGTTTGCATCACCTCCCCAGAGCACTGGAGCTAGTCACCTGCAAAACAGCCAGTTTTCTCAAATGTCCCACTACAAAAGATATTGAGAGGAATCACAGGTCATTAGCTGTTTATGTCAATCAACACATTTTTACTGATAAAATGAAGCCATTTCAGGTGTGACTTGACAAGAACATAGCAACCAGGCAGAAGGACAATCAAGGAACAAATTCTCAGTGGATTCACAGCAAGTGAAAAGCAGATGACGACAGAATAGTAATTACATGCACACAATACTTTACAAATCATGTCACAGATACTTAGCTTTGTGGATCTGCACAGTAATCTCTAATATACAGATGAGGCTTCCATGATTTCAGTGATTTCTTTCTCCGATACGCCTCACTGCTTCAATTTTAATGACAGCACTTTGGGAGGTAGTATGTCACCAGGATGGCTTAGCACCACTCAGCAGGATAGTACCTCAGAAAGGATCTAGGATTAGATTAGCACTTGGTACTCCCAAGAACTAGAGAGGTGCAGGTGGGCAAAATGGAGAGAAGGTATTTTTCTCTCATAGTTCCACTAGATGGCAGTAAGGACCACCACTACCTTCTAGAAGTCAGCGTCGCTGGAAGGCTTTATGTGGTGAAAAAAAGAAAGGAATGAAGCAAATAAATGCTTTTAGAATTTAAAAAGGGTGCATGCATGCGTGAGCATGTGCATGTGTCTGTGTGTGTGCATGACAAATGAACTGAAGTGTAATAGGAGAATTACTGCACCCTGTGCAATTTTTCACACTTGTGGGTAAGCCCAAAATGACAAAAGGATCTTGACACTTGGCACATATTCTCCTAAAGTCTCTTAGCCCTGCATCCTACAAGTCCAGGTGCATATTCTATGATGTACAAGATGATCAGTGTTACTCATCTTAAAACTGGTCATCCTCTAGGCGGGCAGATGCATGTGCTTAGCGCATTCATTCATTGGCTGTGCTTGGATTGTTTTTCTCTTCAAGTTTACCACAGTCTACTGGCTACCAGGGAGAAAAGCAACTGACAGAATCACAGGGTTGAAGGGGCTTTGTAAGCAAGCAAAAGTTGAAATAATTCAAGACACCATAATGCTCCTCTGCTTGGTAGTAATCAATATGGTAGAGGCGAGTTACAAACTTTGGCCACTGGATAAAGAATTAGAATTCCAATAAGAACATAGTATATGAGAAAAAGGATATTGCTCTGGGTGAAGGGTGGTAACACATCTAAGCAGAGTGATGTTTAGATGGAATCCAAAACCTTCTGGGTGTTGCAAAATAAAGTTCCATTCATCTGATGATTCCTCAGACTCTGAGGATGCCTCACTTAGGGATATGATCAAAGCTCCCATCAGTGACAGGGGCATTCTTTTCGAGGAGACTCTTTCTCTGTGGGAGGCAGGCGCTTTTCCTCTGGCACTGAAGGTAGGTCAGGGGCTTTCTGCCCACACCTTGCCACTGTGAAGCGGGTCATGCCAAGAGCTTCCTCATAGCCTGGGAGTGTGTCCAGGGAGGAGGGCAGCTGGCCCAGGGAGCTGTGTCCATGAGCCACTGCCAGGATTCTCCGAGCCGCGGGGCCAAACACAGACTGCAGTGCTGTGAGGGAAGAAGGCAGAGCTCGTGTAAAGACATGACGTCCAAAGGCGAGATCTGTAGAGGCCAGAGCTTCACAGCACACAGGAGAACAAGTGTCCAAAGTTATTATCACATCCTCAACAAAGTTCATGGAAATCCTTCAAAACTTTTCTTTTTGAGACAGGGCCTCTCTGTAGCCCCAGCTAGACTGGGACTCCATGTGTAGAGCAGGCTGGCCTCGGTCTTATAGAGACCCACCTGCCTCTCTCGCCCACATGCTGGGATTAAAAGTGTATACCACCAGGCCCAGAACTTGTACTAGAAGAACCTGCCTTCCCTGGGGTCTTTGCATGGTCTGAATTGCCTTTCCATAGGTCACCGCCTTTCCTTCTTTCCAGTTTTTCTTTTTTCCCTCTTTGCTGTACTAGGAATCGAACCCAGGGCCTCACACAAGCTGGACAAACACTATTCTGCTAAGCTGCACCCCCAGTTTCACCTCTCAGTTTATAACCGTTTGCACCAGCCTGTCGATATCATATTGACATATCATATTGGGAATATTTATTTCTGCTTTATTTGTCATGTATCAATAACAGGTCATATTGTTCTTATTTTTTAATATTTTATTTAGGTTATGTGTATGAACGTTTTGTCTGGATGTATATAAGTGCACCCATGATGTGTAATGCCTGTGGAGGTCAGAAAAGGGTGCTAGATCCCCTGGAACTGGAGTTACACACAGTTGACAGTTGTTAGCCAGCATGTGGGTGCTGGGAATCAAACCCAGGTCCTCTGCAAGAGCAGCCCACTGCTCTTAACCACTGAGCCATCTCCCTAGCTCCATATTGTTCTTATTTTAAAATGAGTGTACAGTGCTTTGCCATCTGTTGTTCTAACTTGTCTTTGCTCCTCAATTTTAGAGAATATTTCACACAAACAGGAGGTAAAGGAAAAGGTCTTATGAAATTATCAGAGATGCTGGGCTCAATTTTAGCATATCAAGACTTGAAGAACATGGAACTGAAAGTGTAAACCACCAGCTTCTTTAAAGATACAAAATAATACAGTGTAAGGCAGGCAGGCCTGGTACTGCAGTCTATAATTTCAGGTATCTGAGGGGCTGGGACAGAATGTTCATATGTTCAAGGCCTGCCTAAGCTACATAGTGAACTCAGGGGTAGCCTGGTCAACTTAGAGAGACCATGTCTCAAAAAGAAAAAAACGAATTAGGGTCTGGGACACTAAGCAGTAATATATTTACTTAGCATATTTGTGATGTTGGGTTCTATCCCCAGCGCCACAAAAAAAATGTAAAAGAAATATAGCTAGGTGTGGTGGTATACACCTCTAACCCACACACAAGAGGGGAATAAAGGGAGGCGGGATCAGTTTGGGCTACTTGAAACCTTGTTTTGAAAGGAGAGAAAGAAAGAAGGAAGGAAGATACAAAGAAAGAAAAAAAGAAAAAGGAGGAAAGGAAAGAGGGAAGGAGGGAGGGAAGGAGGGAAGGAGGGAGGGAAGGAAGGAAGGAGGGAAGGAAGGAAGGAAGGGAGGGGGGAAGGGGGGAAGGAAGGAAGGACGGAAGGG